GGTGAAAATTGCTTTTCCAAAAACACTAGTTACTGTATTTTAAGAATTGTTATAGACAGGGCAAAGCACGAGAAGGTCAGATTTTGCTTCAGTCAGAAAACACACTTTAAATAATATTTGCCTGGTCCTTACCATGATTTTTAAAGTACCAGCTGATACTTTTTAACCAAAAAAAAAAAAAAAAAAAAAAAAAAAAAAAAAAAAAGATCAACCCTGAACTTTTGATCTATTATATACAAAGCTTAGAGAGAAAAAAGAACACTCTTAAGCATATATAACACTTACATGTACCAGACAGCAACACGAAGTCTAGTAGCAGCGTATTGCAGAGGAACCCTGACTCTGTAACCAGTACAGATGCCCTGTTCTCACACGTGTGCAAGGTGCTGTACACACGGTATGACAGAAACATCATCCTTGTCCTAAACCTTACACAGCACATAAAGAATACATATTAGAAGATTTTTAAACTGCTCATTTTTGTTTTCGGAGTTTATGTCTCTCCCTCCCTCCTTTTGCCATAAGGGTTTAGCACAAAATCATCCCACCTAAAATAAAATGCAAAGTTTTTTCATTAAAGAGATCCAGGTATAATTAACAAAATTTAGTGTTTTCACACAATTTTCAATTAGAGAGTACCAATCTTGGAGCTGTTGGCTCCCACGTTCTTTCAAGCTTTCCTCTCAGTTCTTTCCCATATAGCAGTCTACACTGAATCTAATACTAGCAGTGGGCAAGGTGGACACAGAGTCTCGGGGAAGTATTCTCAAGTAACTGCAATTCTGTCTTTACTATGCTTACAGCCTATGGAGCTGACCTTCTTAACACTCTTCTGAACAAGCTTTGTGCTGGTTTTCCTTCATGCAATGCTATTTTTTCAGGAATTTTGTTTTGATTCTCAAGGGCAGACAGAATCTAGACAAAAGAGACTAATCTTGCAAAATCTGGAGTAACACAGGTTGCTTTACTGGGTGTATTCTCTTATATTAGGATTTACCATTTGTTCAGTCCCTAATTACACTTATTTCATAATTTCACAGACAATAGGATGAAAAGACTTAGAAATAATCTAATTTTCCCCTTGATAGTGCTGGATTCTTCTGCAACAACTGTTCCTGTTCATCATGTGAAGCCACGACAGGATCTCTATCCACAGACTGATGTGCAGAACATGCACAGCTCCCTGTCCTCCTAAGAGACTCTGCACCTGACTTTTCCCTTTAACCATTTCCCTAATCCAGGCACTTTAAAAGTGACTTTGCTGCCACACAAAGCTGCCTGTGATGGCAAAACTGGAAAGGCAGCGAAAAACTTTGAAAAAGTTTCTACTCGCCTGTCAGAGCTGGATGACTTTTCATTTGTAACAAACCACAAGGAGAGGGTCCAAAGCATCCAGTAAAAATACAGACGCAGGAACTGTAATTCTCTTCCAGGAGCTCCTACCAATACTCTATACTCAGCTGTTAAAGAGGTTTAAATTGGAAAGTAGGGGACAAGGCCAACACTAACAACAGGCACTCTTGTAAAGCAARTCTAACCAATACTGGTATTTATAGCAATTATCTGAACATAAAACAATAACAACAACAAAATACTATTATATTACTAGTTAATTTGATCTTCTGTTTATTAAAACCTCTAACACAACGTGATTTGTATTACAGCAACTTTATCTTTGCGCTTTAACCAATCTTGACTGCCCTATGCAGACAYGAACATTATTCAGTCACTAGCTGCAAGACAGCTGCCAATTAACTCATTAATGTGGTAGACCAACGTTTTAGTAGAGAGAAGATAACATGCACTCAAAGAGTGCTCGTGAAAACACACCAGGCTACAGCAAACAGCTGTGCATTTTCCCGTGTCCACATTGACAAAGCAAGCATTATTATTATAAACTCAAGTGATGAGAAGCCTCCTAGCATTTGGGTAGGTCTGATCCATCTTAAACTCAATTGGGGTGCAATTCTCATCGAGTTTGACAAGACCTGGTCCCCTTTGAAACAAGATTCCTTCGGATTCACATGCAACAAGATTCACCATGCAATGCAATAAAGTGCCAAGTGGGGACTTGATCGAAGTAAAAAAGGCATTAAAATGACAATAATTTGTACTTCTGTAACACTGTTTGCCAGACACCTTAAAGTACCTTATAAATATTAAGTAAATGTCAACCCCCTTGAGTATTATCTGCTATTACAGACATTAAGACAGATTTGAGAAGATAAGACAAAGAAGTTAGACTATTCCCTATGAGTCTGAAAGCATGAAATTCCATCCCTCTGCAGAAGGCCAGCCCAAAGACTACAGGCTCTCCTTAAGTCCCCTGCAAATCCTTTAAGTAGGACTTAAATTAGATGCTATATGGGATTTAGGAGGTGGATAGGTCTCATATTGGTCCTCAACACAGGAATAAAGGTTATCATATGCATCTGTAAAAGGGGTCTAAAAAATGAATGAATCTCACCTTCGTTTTGAGCTAACTATTCCTACACTGCACTGGCTTTACCAGCAAGGAGCTGCTCTTTGAGACCCCAGTGTTCCCACAGCACAGCTGCCCCAGCCAGACACGGCGTCTGTGCCAAGGAGTTCACAGCCCAACTACCCATCCGGCCTCTGGACACAGGGAAYAGCATCTTCTCCTTCCATCCAGGGGGATTTCACTGGATTCTGTGCAGTATATGCAACCTACACACTGATTTAACACTTGATCATCTATTGTTAATGAAAAACACTGAAATAAAGAAACAAATTAGGACCAGACAGTTTCTAATTCTGCAAGTGATTTGYGTGCGAGTGCAAATCCCTATAAGCCATATATTCTGCTCTCCACAAGAATGTTTGACCAACAGCATCACTGTCAGAGCCCTCGTTCATCTACTTCAGTTTTTTCCTCGACTCAATTCACTTTTTCAAAATACAAAAAAAAAAAAAATCCTTCTAATGTATGTGTCTATTGTGTTTTACATCTGAATTCCTAGATTCACCTTATTGTGATACATTCTTCAGTCAGAATTTATTATACCTAGCTGAGACAAGTGCCAACTTTGACACGATACAGCTGTGTTGCTGTAGTGTCCAATACAATGAGATTCTAGTCCATAACTAAGKTCATGGTAATTTCATTTAAAAGCAACAGCAGAAAAATCCCTGTCTTGAGTACTTCAAGACAGTCTGGCTACAGAGGAAGTGTTTTTCTCATCCAGTAATATTTAGCAACAGGGATATATCAGATATTCCCCATGTCAATCTACATAAGGCACCTGTGTATGCTCTCTTCTAAATCACACATACAATGCTGTGAGAAAGCAGCTGGAAACCTTAACATCATATAGAAAATATACAACATTTTTTTTCTGGTTTGGATTCATACAAAAGCCTTGTAGACAGAAGCTTTGAGATGCTGGGAATTTTTAAAAAGAAGCTTTTGACCCAAGCATAATCTAATGCAGATACAAACATTGCCTCATAAACAGCGTTATCACTGGGATTATACTTAATAGCTTTTCATCTTCTATTTTATTCAAACAAACAGAAAAAAAAAAAAACCAGTTCTTTCTCACCCTGTACTTCTCTGCTGCCTTACAGGACCACTGAAAAACATCTGTGAACACAGCTGGAAAAAAGCCAGAGTGCGACAAGGTGTCTCATTGCCATGTACCACCCGAGAGCACCTGAAGCAGTCCAGGCAGGGCCCAAATTACAGATGAGGCAGCAGCTCCATACTCAGCAAGTGCTCCAAACCCCCGGGATGCTCCGGCAGCTCCTGCAGGTAAGGAGCAATGCCACAGAAGTAACCCTGCTAGCAGGGGAGCTCACAGGGAACAGCACTAACTTGGGACTGACTTCCAGCATCTTCTTCGGGAAAGGTTTTCTCATTTTTACCAAGCATGTTTATACCCGACCATGGCATAAGCAACTATAAAAATAGGCAATGCAGGTACTCGAAAAAGCCCGTTAGGTTAGTCGTGTGAGAAAATGATTTTCTTCTCAAGGACTRTAATAAAAGGCATTGAGGTCCCACGATTTTCCTATAAATAGAACAAATATACAGGTGGGAAGGAGGGAAGAGAAAGTGTTTTCAAGAACTGAATTGCCAGATCCAAATGTACTGCTCCATAGATGAGTCAAATCCTTAAACTCCACTCTAATGTGAGCACTCAGAGGGTACTGTCATCACTCATTCAGGGTTTTATCATCACATCTAGGTACAGGGAATCTAAACGAACAGTTAGCCTCACCATCAAGGTGTTATAAATCCTTTACTAACAGTAGTAGTTAGTAGTATAACATTTTGCCTAAGAAACAATTTATATTATTGTGAATTTTAATGTGACATTGAAGCAACGTAAAACTTGAAAACCACTTCCAGAAAAGCATGACATTAATGTCTGACCCTGACTGTACCTACTCTCCAGCTTCTGCCTTGACCTAGGCAGGCATACAACTCTGTTTCCACATGCAAAGAGGTAATCACAGGCTTCATTTCTACTTAGTTTCTTCTCAGGGTCCTTTCATGCCTTTTTATCCCAAGAAACGTAACTGCTTTGTGACCCTCACCTGACAGAGAAGGCATAGGCTGTTTGTGGCTGTGTCCAGCATGCAACTGCTTTGCTCTAGCACAGCATTTCTAATGCAACTTACAAAACAGAACATCAGTGAAACGCCTTCAACCTCAAGAAAAGTCACTTAAATGAACAGTAGGAAAATGCCTGGTGAGAGACCTGTTGTAGGACAGCCTGCTTAGGGCACAGCCTGCAGTTTGGAAGGSGAGTCTGCTAGATCCTAGCACACATTTGGAGATGGATGTGCCTTTTCCCTATGCACTGGGTAACAGCAAAGACAGAAAACAAACTCATTTAGCAGTCCCTGCAATTAAAGATCCCCTGTTACCTACAGTGCTGTTCTGTGTGCCAAATGGTGCAGCCACCTCTCTCAGTGGCCATAAGTGTGTCAACAGATCCGTCAGGTCGCCCACGTGTAGGCAGGCTGCGACTCACCTATGAGAGAGGGTGGGTTTCATGGAGCTCATAGAGTTCATGGGGGGTTGCATGGGAAGCTTCCCGGGAGGATCGTTCTGCCGGCTTTTCTGGTGGCGGAGCAGCAGGAGCCGTCCCAGCTCTTCACACCACGACGAGAGCAGCGCTGTGCAAGGGGAGAAAGCGACAGTGAGCGCACAGGCGAGCGCAGACATGAGCTACAGCAACACCGAGAGGCACCGAGCTGGCGAACACGCTGACCCCAGGAGCGAAGAGCCCATCCACGAGCCACCACCCGCGTCATTATCCTTTAGCCATTATCCTTTAGCCATTATCCAAGGCTGTAATTGCCCTACACTATCATTATAATGTTTTTACACAAGTTACAAACTCTGCGCAGCCCAGAGAGGCGCGAGGGCTCCTCCGAGCTGAGCGGCAGAGAGGGAGAATGGGCGAGGGACAGGCCATGGGATTGCTGCTATGAGTCACCAAAGATGCAGAAGAACTCCTTTCATACTGACAGAAACAGAACAAAACCATACAGAAAACACCGTTCGGGAAAGGGAACACAGAACAAGAAGATTTCTTTTTGGTCTAGCTATTTTGTGCCATTGCTTAATTGGAGAAAGCATAAGAAACCCATGTGCTGAAATACATTTCCAAAACTACCATTAGTTGCCAGTCCTGAACAYGCAAGCAAGATAACATGACCACCCAAAGGTACACATATAAGGCTAGGCACTTAAATCTGTATTTGAACCAGCATAACCCCTAAATGTGCCTTTCCATTAGGTGACCAACCTTGTGGTCAGTGAGGGCACGTCTGTGCTGACAGAAATCCCTGCTTAGCAGCTCCAGCGGGCACATTTCCCAGGGAAACCAACAGCCCGCAGCTCCCTCTGAGGACAYGAGAGGGTTCATTTTCCCTGGAAAACATGGGGAATCCCTTCCCCACAAAACAGCAGAGGGTAATTGCCAAGTGCTGTGCTGCGTTTGCAAGCCCAAGTGCTTGGGGTTTCTCCTCCTTTCAAGTACGTTTTACAGAAAGCTCCTAACAGTGAAAAGCTTCGTATCTAATTCTTTCAGCAAGCGCCSTCAGGAGGTGCTGGGATCCAAAGCAAATCAGGCTGTGTTAGAAGGCAAGAACCAGGAGACCACTCCAAAAGCAAACTGCCAGACTGGTTTAACGTAGGAAAGTTCTAAAATGTCATCTTAGGCTTTGCCAGTTGGAACAAGACAATCACAGAACTCTCTAAAATCAGGACCGTTATCTTCAACATTTGTTTTTCCATAATCCCATAATCATAAGCAGTAACAAAGCATCATTTCTGGCTACACCACCTTCTATTTCCAGGTGATACTCAAAGGTACCTCTTAACAGGTAATTATTAGAACAATTTCCAAAGGGACTAATTGCAAAGACATCACAGTTTAAAAAAAAAAAAAAAAGTAAGAACACTCATAAATATGATTTTTTTTTCAGTATTGGAAGCAGCAACTGGAATTTTTCAGACGCTTAATGGCGACACAAGAAAAATACTCAAAGCCCAGAGCATTCTTGTGAATTAATCACACATTTGGGCAAAGGAGATGTAGTGATTTTATTGCATTTATCAGATGGAAGGGCAAGAGTGGTGTTTAGGGAAGCATTTTAGTGCTCTGCCATAAGAAAAAGGGGGCAGTGCTTCTTTACGGAGCTAAATACGGCCAGTGAAATTGCCAGCCCCCCTCGGAGGCTGCAGAGAGGCCCCGGAGCTCTGCGAAACGCTCCGGCAAGGAGTGTCAGGCTGAGCCGCTTCTCTATTAGCCGAAGAACCCGTCAAGAAGCATTTGATCAAGTTACACCCACCTTTTCTTGGGCACATGGGTGCCAGGGCGCCGGCCCTGCCGCCGCGGAGGGCTCCGCGCACGGAGAGCCCTGGCCAGGCCCGCGGCGCCGCGTGGGAACAGGCCCTCTGGGCAGGGATGCGGAGCAGGGAGCGGCTCCGCGGGAGCAACAAGAGCAAAAGCAACAGCCCGACGGGCGGGAGCGGCTCCGCGGGAGCAACAAGAGCAAAAGCAACAGCCCGACGGGCCTGAGGACACGAGCCCGCCAACAGAGGCCAGGCCGGCTGCAAGGGGACGCAGCACAAGGCCCGGCACAGGGGCAGGCCGGGGAGACAACACAGCCCGGAGAGGTGCCGGGAGGAACAGATACTGCTGAGTTACCGTYCTGCCTAACGCACGCTTATGGAGGCGAGACATAAACTGCTCAAGAACAGAGAGGCCCTCGCGGTAAGGGGGCAGTTACAACCTGCAGGTTACCTGCACAGCACTCATGTTTCCAGGAAGAGACCGCAGGTTACAACATAACAGATTGACGCCTCCCTGTCAGAGCGCTCATTACGGAGAGGTTTAGCCTCTCCTCCCCTGGGACGTTCCGACGCGGGCACCCGGTGTAACCATCGCTCCCATCGCTCCCGTTGCTCCCATCGCTCCCTCGCCACAGTGCTGCTTGTGCAGGGAGTGCAAACAGCGAGTGTGCAGCCAGCTCGTGCTGCACCGCTTGTCCCCGGCCCTTCCGAGGCTGGAGTGAGCAACATCCATCCATCCATCCATCCATCAATCCATCCATCCATCCATCCATCCCTCCGTCCGTCCGTCCATCCCTCCATCCCTCTATCCATCCATCCATCCATCCGTCCATCCCCTCGCCCCATCCACCTCCCCCGGCCCCGCTCGCCCGCTCGGGGGCTGAGCACCCCCGCACACATCTGGCACAGCTGGGGCTGCAGAACACGGCTTCCTGTGCTATTCAAGTCAGATGAAACAAACTGAAAATGAATTTACAGATTACGCTATTCATCTTTAGTGCACTTAGTTACTGCTTTTTATGCTGACGGTATTAGGCCCATCTCAACTCATTTACACCCAAAGCACGAGAAATTCCGTGCCATGCTATAATGAACAGACAAAGCAGCAAGCACAAAGGACAGCTACAGATGGTGCCAACAGTCAGTCTCCCCCTCGCAGCACAGCCAAGCAGCTGCTTTGCCGCCCCTGCACCCCCCTCCACGCAGGCCAGGAGCACGGGCCCTGCAGATGGGCCCTCCGCGCCGCCCGTCTCGCGCAGCCCCTGGCAGCTCCGGGCTCGGGCGGCACYGTGCTCGGCTGCCGCGGTGCCCTCAGCGCAGCGCCAGGGCAGCTCGCAACGCGGGGACTGAAACGCCTTCGAGCTGCACCCTGTCCCCCAGTGCAAAACGCAGCCTCGGGGGGTGATGCACCCGGCTGGCACCCTGCTGCATCCTTGCCAGCCCATGCCGAGGGTGCACAACAACGGCAAGCCAGCGAGGCGCTGACAGCTTCAGTGTGTTCACACGTCTATTTGGCTTCCAGGGACACGCTCGGGGTGGGTTGGTGCAGCAGCTGACCTACTTTTCTCCATTTGCAAAACCTGCACCCTTCTTAATGGGATTGCATTTTCCTTTAAACATTGATGTATTTTTATGGGAATCGATCGATACCGATTTGCTAACGACGACTACGTTAAAGCAACCAACAGCGAAGCGAGCAGCTGCGGCCTTTGCGTTTATGGAACAGAGAAAAACAGAAGAGTATAAATAGGAGAAATTTCTATCATGAGGAGCCAAAGGGGTTTCCAGAGGAAGTGAGAGAATATCCGTGCGGAGGTGCGCGGCTTCCTGCCGCCCGGCCCGTTCGCTCCGAGCGCACAACGTGCTCCTCGTTCCMGCTTCTCCTTAAACCCGCTCACACACACACAGGGCTGCCCACACCTGGCGACCTTCTGGATGTCTCCTACAGTTTTAAACACTTTCATTTAAAAATCATAAAGCAACCTGACAGCGCATACGCTGGGGGCAGCAGGCAAGGCCCAGAATGTCTTTTCCTTCAGCTTGAGTCACATTTCAAGCATTTCTGTGCAACCACAGAGCTGAGCTTTGCTTGAAAGAGAAAGGAAGCAATTGTTATTTAATCCCTTGCCTCTAGGAGCCAGGTCTTTAAGAAGTTGCCAAATATCACAAGATTTGCGGCACAATTATTCGAATTGGCAACATCCCTGATATTGTTCATTTCCTGTTAGGGTCCTTTTGTGCTGAAAAACTGTTATACGGGATAAGAAAAAAAAGGAAAGATTTCCACGGAATGGGCTGCGGCGCGTTTGATCCGAGCTCTGTGTATCCGTGAATCCCAGCGGGAGCGGCGGGGGCAGCCCCGGCACCGCCGGCCGCCCCGCACAGCGCTCGGCGCTTGCACCGAGCGGGTTAAGGCATTAACGCGGGGCCGAGCAGCAGTGCTTGGCTAATTAAAACCAACTGCCTGCAGGAAACACCAGGCTCCTCAGAAGGCAGGAAAACAATGAGCCCGAGATGGGGAAAATCCATGGATAAAGCCCGGGTGGACGCTCGGCCTCTTGCATCCCGACCACAGGCTCCCAGTGCACCTGCACCTACATGGCGGGCAGCGGCGCACAGCCCGGGTACCGAGCCCTGCGCAGAGCCCATTGCAASCCAGGGAAGGAGAGGAAAAGGGGGCACATCCGTGGGGCTCATGGATGCACCGCCGTGTTTCAGCTGCCTGCAGCAGCTGCCTCGTCTACCTCAGCAGCTCTGCAAGTGCTGCTGTCAGCATCTCGGCGCGCACGAGCCCGCGGGCGCCCTGCAAAGCAAAATACAGAGGAGCACGGTGCTAATCTATTTACCTATTATGATACCCTAGTATTAGTTACAGCTTATCACCTCGGTAAATCACCGCCTCTTGTTAGGGAACGTGCTTAAAGGTGCAGCAAACTGTTATTTACGGGCAGACACTATATTTACAGCTGCAAAGACAGGTGAGGAGGGGAGAGGACAACAGCTCAGTAATTTCAATGCCTTCTGCTTCCCAGGAGACTGCTGGAGGAGCACAATAGGATTACTGCTTCCTTGCTGCAGTTAAGCTGCAGCAGACAGTTCAATAGGCAGGCTGGCAGAGCCGTATTTCTTACTCACTGCAATGAAAATATTAGGAGGGGGGAAGAGGATGGGTTGGGTCTGGAGCAAACTATCTGTTCAGCACCGTCTCTCTGCCTTGTTTTGGATTCTGCTTCAGAAAGAAATGCCTTTGGCTGATAAAGATGCTTGCAGCATATGTAAGAAAATTCCAGCGTTTTCCCCCAGATTGTTTCCA